CACCCACACACGCACACACACGAGCTGTTGTGATCAGGCTCACCTTCTCCTTGTTCGTTGGTCTCACTCACAAACACACAGTGGATCTCCTTGATGAAGTGTCCAGACAGCTTGATGTCCACATCCTGCTGTCCCACTCTAACACACACACACACACACACACACACACACACACACACACACACACACACACACGAACACACACACACACACACACACTTTAAAATGCCTCCTCTTCTTTTAGGTGCACACAACCACGAGGAGACGAAGGTCCAACCTGGTGAATCCTTCCTTGATGTAGTAGAGGAGGCACTCGGACATGAGAGGGTCCTCGTTCAAGTTGACAAGGTGAGGAGTCTAAACACAGACACACACGTACTGTGACAGCTTTCAAAATAAAAGCCCGGGTTGCTGTATGTGCCATCTAATGGTGGGCAAAGGGGCAAAAAAGCGAAAAAGATCAAGAATATCCCAAAACATTTATCTGCCGAAATATCAATGTCATTCCAAATGTACTCCTACTCTCATGAACTCATTCTGTTGTATGAAGGACAAAAGGTGGATGCACAAGTAAATTGTACCTAAGTACCGGTCGTGAAAAAGCAATTCTCTGCTCTGTTTGTCAATATATGTTGTCAGCGCAGAAAGGTTGACAAAGATACATTTGGAGTCAACGAATAGGAATGCAAATTAAAGTGGGATTTTGCAGGTTTTGTTTTCAATAAATGACTGTGTCCATAAACGACGTGATAGACGACGTGCTGATTTGAAAAGTGCAGCTGAAAACTGCAAAATGCCCATTGAAGTAAAATGAGATCACTTCCTACATAGTGCACCTGATGATCTCTCACTCACTGTACACCCACGTGGTTGGGAATCATGACTGTATTTTATGTGTGTGCTGTATGGTCACTCACCCCTTTAGGAGAGAAGACACCAAGGGTCCCTCCATCCTCTTTAATGGACACGCCCATTTCGGCCAAGAGCGACTCCCTGCCGTGCACGCACGCACACGTTTACGAGGCGAAGGAAAAGTTGAAGATGTTCCGACGAGCTCGGCTCACCTCTCCAAACGGATGGATTCCGTCTTCCTTAACTTCTCCTCCCATGTCTCGTTGAGCTCAGCCATGATTTTCTCTGTCTCCTGACACACGCAAACACACACATGCGTGAGAGAATGTCTGTGTGTGTATGCTTCTGCTGTGACATCACATCATGATCATCATAATCATCATACCAGCAGTCTCTCAGCCGCCTCCTCTTTACTGATGGTTTCCGTGGCAACCTCGGCCTCCCCGGCAGGAAGGTGATTAACATCCGCTGACTCACTGAGGTCAAACACACCTGAAGAGGCGGAGTCTTTCAGATCGGCCGTCCCATTGGCTGTGATAGTCAGCGGTAAGGAAACACCTCCTGTGGAGGAGCCGTTGTTGTTGGCTAGAGAAACCGGCAGGGGGGGGCTCATATTACTTTTGGAATGTGAAGGCTGACGGGCACGTGCACATCTGTAAATATCAGTCTGTAAACATAGCATGCGCGGGCACAGACACACGCACACAAACACACACGTGTACATGTAGCACATGGTTCAAACACGCAGCCTGGGGCCAGATCCGGTTTGCCTCATTATTTGTTATGGCCCAGGAAAGCAAATAGTGCCTCGATGTTTCTTGCATAATGACTGGAACAAAATTGCAATTATTCTTCACTTTTTTTTCTTTTTTTTTTTTTACAAGCAATTAAATTCTTTAATATAAAGCATTGGAGAATTAAATATGTGGTTAATTTGTCACCATTTTCCACAACTTTAGTTTTGTTTTTAAATAGAGGTGGTATTCTCTTTCAAGAGCCCCACTTTATGAGTTTGTTTTGTTTACTGGATTAGATATACTGTATCGCATGAGTAAATTGAGTAATGAGCTAGATCACAGAACAAATTAAATCCCATTAAAATGCCATTTGTGGCCCACTGTTATTTGTCACATATTCTAATAATGAATTAAAACGTGGCCTATATCAGAAAGTTACAAGAAAAAATTATAATGTTGAACAATATCTCAACATGCATTAAAAACACATTTATTATTGTATTTTTTAATCATTTTTAATTCTTATGACATTTAATTGTCACACTTTTTTAAAAATTGGCACAAAAATAATGCGAAAATATCTAAGGTTATTATTATTATTAAGATAAGATAAGAAAACCTTTATTTGTCCCATAATGGAGAAATTTGCATTATATTATAATAATAACATAATATAACCTTTTGCTCTGTCACCAATAACACAATAGATTTTTTTCCCCCCGATCCTTTCAATACATTCAACTGTTCAACATTTGTTAACCTATCCTATTGGATTGGTTTTTAGCAACATCTCGTCTTCTTTCCATTTTCTGTGGCCCTCTATGGAAATAGTTTGGACATTCCTGAATCGAGCTCATACGTCAGTGTACCACTGTAAAGCATATACGGTATAATAACAATGGAATGCCGGGCTCAGAGCAGCACGTCATAATTTGATGAGATAATAATACAGTCATAGCGATCATCTGACGGAAGCTTTAAAAAGTACGATGTGGCGTGTAATAAAACAGAGTTTGTGGAGGATATGGAAGGAGTGCAGCTGAGACGCGTGGCATGCGGTGAGCACGGCTGATGGAATGCGGTGAGCGCGGACACTGGAATGCGGCATACCCTGGTTGTGGATGAGCTCGTGCAGGCCCTGAGCGAAGAGGAGGCTCCGAAGTCGTTCCACTTCCCCTTTCAGCTCTCGGATCAGTTTGGCGTTGGGGTCTTCGTTGATGATGGCGTTACAGCGGATCTGCTTGGCTCGGTCGGCGTACCTGCAGCGGCGGCGCAGGCGCGATCGGGTCAAAGTGGATGAAGTCCACGGAAAGGAAGCGTGAGAAGCTCTTACCTCAAAGTGCTGAGCGTTTCTTCATAGTTGATATCAGCAGGACTGAGAGCGGCGATCATGGCCGTGCGAGAGTTTCCGCCTGGGACACGGAATTGGCGCAAATCCCCCCCCCCAAAAAAAAGGATCTTATTATTTTATTAGTCTTATTGGTTGTTTTTTTAGAACAATTCATAAAAGGGGAAAAGTGCATTGCTTTTTATTATCCAATTTTAGGACCAATTGTATTTAAATTTATCAGTTCAATACATTTGCATTTAATCTAACATTTATAGATAATTTTTTTATGAACTTTTTTAAATATTTTGAAGCGGTGTGTTTTCTTTATCTGAGCCGAGAATTGAAATTACAGAAATAATCACCATCGCTTGATGATTTGCGAATAGATAGGGAAGCCAAGTTCTCACCCAGATTCTCCTTAAGGAGCCACGTCAGCACCGAATCTCTGTAGGGAATAAAGTCGCTCTTCCTCTTCTTGCTGCTCTGCTGCACCACCACCAGTGACGGCAAGATGAAGACGATGAAAATGAATATGCGGAACTAAAAAAAAAAAAGTTGGGTGGCATGGGGGGGAAGGGGGGGTTGTACCATGTCGGCCAAAGCAGAGATGACTTTTCCCAGTGTGGTGAGAGACTTGTTGATGTTGGCTCCTTCCTGTACACAATTGTCACAGTAACTGCCCAAACATTAAAAAAAATAAAATAAAAAATAAAATCATCTGTGGGTTCTCTGACCTTGAGTCGGGTGCCCTTGGACCCTGAGGAGTCGGCGCGTTCACTCCCCGCCAGGTCCACTAGACTGATCTTGCTGACCTGAGAAGATGCACAAACACGTCAAGTTTGCACGTGTGCATCAAGTCATACACACGCGCGCGCGCACCTTTTCTGTGTCCAGCTGGGTCAAGAGATCTCGGCGCCGCTGGCTGAAGACGATGGTGAAGACGGCGTGCGAGCGCGACGACGTCTCGTTCATGTTGGTGGCCGCCACCGTCCTGTCGGTCGCGTCGGATATGAACACTCCATCACAAGCTCCGCAAAAACATGCAATATATTATACGTATACAAAGGCCTCCTTGAGCATGCTTGACCGCCGATGGGATACGAGTGCATGTTGGCCATATTAAAAATGCCCCGTAAACAAATGCAAGCCAATAACGTGAACTTAATGTAAAGTCGAACTTTAACGCACTCGATATAGTGGCGACATATATATGTCAGATTCCGCACCACGAATATTTGATGTGGACGGTGGAACAACTCGAGTGGCAAAAAACAAACAAAAAAAAAAAAAAAAACTGACCGGGCTTTGTTCCCGGCATCCATCAGGTCCCGAATGTCAGAGAATCCGGTCACAGCCAATTTGGACAAGTCCTCCACGTATGGTCCCAGGATGGGGTGCTCCCTCACCCGCAAGGTCCCCTGGGACTTGGGGTTCAACAGATCCCGGACGCGCTCGCAGTAGATCTCCATGTAGGACACCTACGGTGGGATCATTGTCAGCCAAGAGCGTGGTTGCGACACAAGCGTGCGGCAAGGTGGGGGGGTTACCTCGACAGAATAGGTCAAATCGGGATCGGCGTTGGCCCCGGTCCTCTGGAACAGGTCGTCGCACAACTGAACACACACACGAAAACATGAACAAAGATGTTAAAAGGATTGACCTATAATGTAACAGCACACTAATAATGCAGTCTAAGCATTAATATAAACCTTATAAACATTGACAAACTTAACAAAAGGGTATATGAGAGGATGGACATGGAAGCAATTCAAAATACGGAAATGCTGTGTCGGCTGTGCGGAAATTGAATTAACAAATAAAAAAATATTTTGGCATCAACACACTAATGGTGTACTGTAAGCATTAATATTAACCACAGGTGTCAAAGTCAAAGCCCAGGGGCCACATCATTTTATGTGGCCCGCAAAAGCAAATCAAGCATGTCAAGTTCCATGGTGCTTGCTAAAATCTGAAGCAAAATTTCAAATTGTCATATGCAATCCACAATATCAGTCATTATTCTTGATCCCTGATTTTAAAACTAGTTATTCATCAATTTCTTGTGCGCTATGTATGTAATATGTGGAGGTGATTAAACATTTATATGGTTTCCCAAAATTCATAACGGCCCTCCAAGGCAAACCGTAACTACAATGTGGCTCGTGACAAAAATGAGTGCGACACCCCTGATATAAACCTTAAAAACATACAAATACATCATGGGCGTTTGAGAGGATTGACATGGATATTGTTCACTGAGAAAAATGTTCAGTCGTGTCATTGATATCGGCCGCTGTCGTGAGTACACAAGTCCATGAAATAAGGCAGATACCGGGCTGATACCTGGTATTGATACTTGGCCATCACAATCCTATACCTCAGTAAAAGTACAGAAAAGTGCTGATTCAACTCCACTAAAATAAAAATTTTAAAAAACGACACTGAATTCCCCTGACGTACAAAAGTAAGCATTAAATAAATAAATAAATTGAATCTACCTGTGGAATGATGCCCTCCTGCCCCGCCTCCTGCTTGCCCATCATGGTGTAGCTCTTCCCCGCCCCGGTCTGGCCGTACGCAAAAATGCACACATTGTAACCTGCACAGGACAAAATGGTGAGTGCCCGCTTTCTGCTGCCACGTCGTCATTGTCGTCATGACCGACAGGTCACCTTCGAAGGCGTGCAGCAGCATCTCCTCGCCGATATCCTGGTACACCTGACGCTGGCTCGCAAAGGCCGGGTCGTCGGCCTGAGCACACACACAATCAATATAGTGTGTGTGTGTGTGTGTGTGTGTGTGTGTGTGTGTGTGTGTGTGTGTGTGTGTGTGTGTGTGTGTGTGTGTGTGTCGGCGACATTACCATGGTGTGCGACCAGTAGGAGTGGTCAAAAGTGAAGTTCTTGGCTGCATCTTTGGGCTGTTTGGGGTTGACGATGCCTGAGAGGACAAGACGAAGCTGAGCACACGCACACACACAAGCACACATAGAAAATGTCGTGTGTGTGTGTGTGTGTGTGTGTGTGTGTGTGTGTGTGTGTATGCGTGGCTTACAGGTGGTGTTGCCCTGCATCTGGATGACACACTTGGCATTGCGCCCTGTCTCCCTGGCGTTGAACGGCCGGACGCGCACTGCCACCTTGACCGAAGCACCCGCCATCTCAGCCCACCTTTAAGCAGCCAATCAAAAACCCAAAGTCAAAGGTTAAAGGTCATCCTTGAAATGGATTTCTTTGAGGTGCTACTTCTTCCCCCCCCCCCCCCCCCCCGCTCTCGGCGCCTGGTCGACGTGCCGCTTCCCACGCCCTGGCCTCGGGCCGCCGCAGTCACCTGGTAACAGTTTTGCGTGTGCGTTTGTGTGCATATTGATCAGTGATGGTACAAGTCGTGAAGATCAGACCAGTCACAACAACATGCAGCTAAAAATACACGCGCACGCACACACGTGTGCACACACACATTGCTGGGATGCCAAGGGAGCGCCACTTTAGCCACGCATGCTAACTTTAGCAACAACTCGAATGTAGCGGCCACCCGGCAGGAGGAAACGGCTTCCGTGTTCGCCGGGAAAATGTTTGCTCTTCTTTTGTCATGTGGCGGCCTCGGTCGCCACGGCAACGGAACCCAAGTAAACATGGTGTGGGTCAATATCCCTGATCCTCTCCACTCATGGAATCATAGACCATCTCGGGTTTATCTAAAGCAGGGGTCACCAACGTGGTAGCCCCCCCACCACCACCACCAAGGACCACATGGGCCATATTCCATAAACAGCTCACCAGTGATGGGGCATTGTGACTTTCGAGGAATAATGCTGTATGAGTGATCATAATCAATCATTTGAAAAAGTAAACAATGGAAGACATTTCTAGAAAGAGTTGCAAACAGTATTTGGTATGGATCTGTTGGCTAATCATTGTAAGAAATGATTAACATGATCATTGCTGATTAATTATTCATGAACCTGGGCTGTCACTAACTCACTAACTTTTTAGAATTGATTATCCTGTCAGTTATACTGGTCGACAACAAATTTGAATATGAGATGGCTTTATGTGTCAATAAATGTATTTTTGAGGTTGATTTCCAAAATCTCTTTCCTTTTCTCTAACACATCAGATTTTGGAGATAGTTTCAGTTTTTGTTTGTAAATGTGACAAATAAAAGCTTGTGCGATATAGACTTTACCATGTGTTGTAATTTATAGCGGTAATGTTTCAGAAAAAAATTCCACCAGTTGCTGAACCTAACCCTTACTTCAGAAGTATTACTACCGGTAAATATAATCTTATTTTATATACTGTATTGAATAATCCCTCGTTTATCGCGGGTGTTACGTTCCCAAAAGAACCAGTGATAAGTGAAATCCATGAAGTAGTCATCTTAATTTATTTCAATTATTACATATACAATACAAGACTTCATCCCTAGTTATAATATTATTCATGTTAGGAAAACCAGATATGCTAGAGAAAAAAATCGAGGCACTTTTGGAATCAGTGCAAAAAAAAAGAAAAGAAAAACACCCAGAATTGTTGATTTGCATCTCTGATTAATAAAATTGTATAAATTTGTTGACCAGTGTTATTTAATCAATTCCTCACTCATTCAGAATGATTTTCTTCCAATTTTTTCCCCCTAGCCTAATTATAACATAATAATAACAATCAGTAACCAAGAAGTAGCTCTCAGCTTCAAACAGGTTGGTGACCTCTTAACCAAAGATATCCACCACTCTGCCGATTATCGGTAGCCCTGAACTGGTCGCATGTTCATGGCAAAGCACGAACTGTATAGCCAGTCCTTCATGTTTTTGGAATGTACGGGCAAGTATCTGCAGAATGTACACACAAGCTCCACACAGGCAGGCCTGAGCCCAGTTTCCAACCTGGAACCTCAGAACCACCATACTGATTGAAGAGAAACTACAAACGAATGAGCACAATGTTTTCTCATATTGGAAATATTCAGAGCGCATCCTCATTGCGGTCCCAGGTCAAGTGGAAACCATCTGGGGTGACTTTAGATGAGAGGCGGACTGGTGGGTCACAGGGCACATGTAAACAAACAAGAGTTCACACTCGCCGAGTGACAATTTCAGGACTTTAATGACATGGTTTGGGAACGAAAGCGGAAGCTGGTGTAACATGCAAATTCCACAAGGGAAGGCTGAAGTCAAGATTCGAACCCCAAACCTCAGAAGTGTGTGGGACACGTGCAAACAATGTCGTCACCAACAGGCTTACGTAACAGAGTCACCGTATGTGACGTCATCCAACTCAATTCTACCTGACGGGTATGCGTGTGAGTGTGTGCGTTTCCCGATCGCCTCACGCGACCACCATGTCCGGAAGCCGCCGCGCGCAGCTTCCGCTCCCGGCCTGTCGGTACCGGGACACACCGTCACAAAGTTGACGACGAGCGCTTCCACCGCGCTCTCACGCGCGGGGCGCAAGAAAAAGTTGGACGACTTACGAAGTGACGGAGTTGACGTCACCGTGACCGCTGAAAAAGTTGCGGGCCGGCCGAGCGGTAGACTCGGGAGGACCTGGAAGTCTCGACACCCGGCGGCGGCGACTGTGGGCGCCGGCGACCCTCGGCGCTCCGCTGCTGTTCCACGCGTCGTCGCCCCGGTAGACGGCGGCCAAGGTGGACTTTGGAGAGGGGAAAATGGAGTTGGAACAACAGGAAGGAGACGGGGGTGGGGGGGGAAGCCTGGCCGGTGGCGTGGCCGCGCGGCGGGTGCGTGCCTGAGCTGGCGGGCGCGTTCACGACGCACAGCCTCGAGACCCGCGAGGGCCCGCCCAATCTCCAAGAGGAGTCGAGTTACTGCCAGAACCGGAATGGTTGGCTCTTACTCTGAAAGTCTACATCACATTTGGATGGAATTTTTGGGGTAGCATCCTGCGGGACCAACCATTAATACCAACTTGGCAGTTTTCTTGCCAAATTGAGTAACTTTTCAGAATACACCAGCACCCCCCCCCCCCAACAAAATACC